GTCTGTAACTAGGACAATGCTGTTATAGGGGGCAAGGTCAGAGGTTCAAATCCACAAAGCTGCATCTGTAATCCAACCCCTGGGCATCTTTCTGCCTAGGCTGCACTTCTCAATATTTCCCACTGTAACACTCCTGCTAGTTCCTGCACCACCACAGGGATGACTCTAGCCCTAGCACTCTGCTTGGGCTGAGCAAGGAGCCTAGCTGTACTATTTGGCCGTCAGGGAAACGACCAACCCGGAGAAGGGTGTGGATAAAGCCCCTCCCGTTTCTTATACCAGCCGGAGTTAGGCAGCAGTTAACTGGAGGCAGCACATGCTACTCCTTTAAACACAGGAGCCTCCAGTGTTCCCTGTGGAATTTTGCCTGTCTTTCTTATATATAGTCACGGTGCCCAAGCCACAATCACTTGAGTGCTACAGCCCCTCTTCCTTCCCTGTCTCCTCTTGAGGCTGTGGCTGCAAAAGCCAAAATCCATAATGGGCATTACTTCAGGGAAATACGTCCACTTCCCAAAGCTCTTATTTCTTTGCCTGACGCTGGACAACTGCATGTGCAAGACTTCACCAAACATGCTGCTCCGGGTTTCTTCCAGGATGGCTCAATTTCTTGCATGGTCCTGCAGTAGCATAAAGTGTGAATCATGTGATTCAGAGGCTGTCCTAGTAAATAGGATTCGATGACTCGTGAAAGAAATAGGGTTCAGAGAGTTGGGCACATTCCAGTAGTTCTGTGACTATATAACTTTTCTGCTGTCCATGTCCCTGCAATAAATAACGAATCACCTACCCACCTACCTCTTTTTAATTTTTTATTCTTCTCCCTTTTGGTAAAATCAGTCTTGTATTTTACAGTGAAATAAGAGAGGTTGCTAGAGAACAGTCCAAGGTGATCCTGCTGGTGGTTCTGTGCATGCTACCTTTATAGCACTTCCAGCCTGTTCATGCAGCGATAAGAAGCTGGAACAGAATATTAGACACTGTTTGTCTAGCTGCATGACTAATGTTAATGATTATGTTTCAGGCTCTCCTGTGTATGTGTGTGAGAATAGGTCCTTCAGGTAAGACTACAGAAGCATAGTTTGGTCTCTATGGACGTTCATGGCACTTTCTGGAGAATAGAAGTTTGCTCCAGTATTCTGGTTCTCCACTGTTTTGTAGGGAGCTGTATGCGGTTACTGCTGTCTGCTCCAGAGCAGGCTATGTTTCACTGGTGCAATTTGTGAAGTTCTTTGAACTCCTTTGGCTGAAATTCAGCTCAGTGTTGTGATCTTCAGTAGTACTTAGGTCTTGTACTACTCTCTGTACAGGGGGGGATGTTACCACTTTGTGATGAAACCACTATGTAAAGTATTATTGTATCCTTTATTATTCTATTCTTCATTTTATTTTCTTTACCAATTAGAGCTAAGCAAATAATTCCTAGTGAATAATCTATTCAACCCATCATGTAGTCTCTTTCTTCTGCTCATGAACTATCCACGAGTACCTTACAAAAACCAAATAGTTTCTGTGAATAATATTTGGTCAGTAGATGGTGTATATAAACAGTACATAATCAATGCTGCAATGTTTAGGTTGCACTAGACACATTTATATGGTGTTGATTCTGTACCCTGGCTAGATGAACATCTATCTTAGAATCAGGGCCCCAGTGAAATTCCTTATGTTTATAAGATCAGAATTCACTTTCCATAAATATTACCAAATTGCTGTTTCCACAAACCTTCCTGCCAGTAAACTCCTTCACGAGAATAGTTGCAGGAATGAACACGAAAGGTGAGTGAACTCAGACTAAGCAAACAATTTTTTTTTTTATTTGAGTGAATAGTGACAAAAAAGTTTGGGAGGTATTTGCTCACCATCTTTAAAGGCAGACATAGCACCACTATGTTACAATCATTCTACCACCAAAGGCTGCCAGCTCAGTGTTGCTATCAATCTCTTGTTTCATTTGATCTCACCTATAGACGCTTATCTACAGGCTGTCCAAATTTTAATAACTATGTATGTCTGTTGGCAAAATGTTGTTTAATCTCCTGTTGGAGTCCTACGTCAGAACCCACTGAAATTTGGCAAGGACACTAGTAATTTTCCAGTAAAAAAACCAACTTATTGGAGTTAACATATGCTTTCAATTTTTAAGATATTTAATAATGTTTTCACCTCTAATTAGGAAAAATATCTGGTTTTGGCTTTTTCACTCTCTTGGGAGCTGAGAGTTTGGTTTTGCCAATTGCCAAGTCATTACAATGTTCCATTCCCTGTGATAAAGGCTGCTTTTCAAGTTCGGAATGAATTTGGATACAAATCTAAGCAGCAACTGATTTCCTGGCGAACACTAACTTAACTCAAACCCCATAATCTACATGAAAGGAACATTCAAGTTTAGACCAACAATACCAGAGAAATTCTAAATAAAAACTGCCACATCCAGCGCTCTCTCTACAGTAGTAGGCAATATACTTAATATACAGGTAGCTATTTACCGATAAATAGTTATATTTACCAATATTGTTTAAATACATACTTTCCCTGCAGTGCTGTGGTTCAAATTAGGATTCATTTATTTATTTGCTAATCAGTAACTAACGTCCCAAACTAGGTGGTTTGTTTTTATTACAAAAAAAAAATACAAAAATAAAATTACACTACATGGGATGCATTTTGAATCAGCTGAGATATTAAATCACAGGAATTGGGGGTTACAATGGAAAATCAATTTACTCTTAATAACAGCAGCCCTGCTGATGCTGGTAAAATAAAACTCCAAGAGAAACAGAAAGACTGGGTGTCTGGTTCTAGTATGCTATAAGTTGGTTTCAAGGAATTTCGCTCTTGGACTTGCATTGTCTAGCTTGGCCTTACGAGAGTAAACACAACAGTGCATTCTTTTCCCATAGGCTATTACAGTCTCTAAAATGTATATTGAAATGCTATGGACCACATCCCCAGCCAGCTAATGTAAATAGGTGTGGCTGCATTGATTTTAATTGAACTGTACTTATTTACACCAGCTGAGGATTTGGCCCTGTAACTAACTTTTCTTTTACTGATTTACAAAAACACAAGTAATTTGGAAATCTCTTTTGAATGGAAAACTTTTTCTTACAAAACTTATACATACATACAGGGTCATATCCTCAGCTCTGCTATTCCATTTTACTCCAGCCAGGGATCTGACTTTCAGTATACACACACCACATGTGGGTTGCTCACAGCCATGTAATACACTGCAGCGCTATATGACAAATGCATTTATCATGCACCTTTGATCTCACTCACACTCTACCCCCGATCCATCTCTGCCAGAGTGTGAGTAGCTCTTGAATAGCCACTATTTTATTTACTTATTTCTAAAAATCAACCTGTTGTTTCTTTCCCAAATGAGAAATTTCTCCCCAAAATTACACCAGACAAGGCCCACAATGGGGAGTATTCAGTCCTGGACCACTGACAGATTTAAAGTCCTAAAAGGATTATAAATAGTTTCTATACCGGTTAGCTTGTGATGTATCAGACCTTAAGATCTTCGTATTATTATGTATTGAAAAGCTGTTTTAGCAAATGTTTCCCATTGAGGGTTGGGCCTCTTGAGACGCAGCATGTCTTGTGGCTATAGAACAGGACTGGCAGTCAGGAAGCTGAGGTTCTGCCACAGACTTACTGCATAATCTTTGACAAGTCGTCTATGGAATGATCTTCATCCAGTGGTCTCTGACTTTGGGAGCCCAACTTGAGGCGCCTCCTTGGTCTTGCTTGTCAGGGGCACTGAGCCCTTGCAATGCCATTTGCAGTCAATGGGAGCTATAAATATTCAGAATCTTGAACATCAAGCCCAAAGTATCTCTAGTTGGGCACTCAACCTTGAGACACACAAAATCAGAAGCCATTTTTGAAATCCTGGCCTTTAGCCTTCCTGTGCCTTATTTCACTGGAGGGAGGAGGGGTTATTGTGAGACTCAGCTCATTAACGTTTGCAAAGTGCTTTGGGATCTTTGGATGGAAGGCACTATAGCAGGGCAGTATTATTTATTATTCCCAGCAGTTGTGGAATGTATAAAGACATCTAGACATCTGAGAGGAGGTGCTGGCAGCTACCATCTTGGAATGGTTCCTTCTGAGGGGCCAGAACCTGTGGTTTCTTGTAAAGATTATGTTTTTCGTAACAAAACTTTTTGGATTTTCTTGTGACAGAAACATTGACCCCTGGAATGGATCTCTCAAGGCATCATGGCTGAAGGGAAGGAGTGAGACATAGCCCCTTTTACCATAGGGAGCACCCTCTCCCATTTAGAGCTCTGCAACATTTTCATAAGAAAACCCCAAACTGTATGAAACTTGCCCATCTTGTGGTTATGCAAAAATAACTCGAGCCAGGCTCTCTGTGAATCAGCTGAATGACCTTGGTGCCATTTGTGGCTTCCCATCAAAGCTGAGTGAAATTCACCATTTTGCACAGTTTCCACATGACACTAGGAGAAACTTGGCAGAATCAACTTTCACTTTGAGTCTGGGGTTAGCATCCAAAATTCAAACTGAAACTCAGGAGGTCAAATTCATCCCTCATGAAACTCAGCTGGAGAAAACAGATTTACACCAGGTGAATTTAGGGCAGGGTGTCTGAGCCAACATGGATTGAAACCAAACCCCCATGACCCAAAACCAGCAAGTTTCTTACAACTCTGTTCATACCTAGTACATGTGGCTTGTTATTTCTCCTTCTTTGGTCACTAGTTCTGAACTGAACAGCTCCCTAAAGAGACAGCCCCAGTAGAGGGCACTCCTTCCCATAAGCTTGTTCACAAGTGATACATTCCAATCCTAGCCTATGAAGCAAAAGTTAATTATAGTGGAAAGAGTTAGGTACGCTTTTAATTAAACAGATAAAATATTGCTGCGTTAGATTGTGCAACATGTCTGTGTTTCTGTTTCTTCCAGGAAGACCCATTGACACCGAACTGGAACAGACGGAAGCATTCGTTTCCCAAATACTTTGTGTCCCATCCATTTGCCCTGTGGTTCCAGCGTCCAGTTCGAGATGCAGACATTCCATATGGAGTTTCAAGGTCTGTTTCCTTGGCTGCGTTCCAAGGATGCTTCTGGGAACTTGTGTACAATGATGTACTTTTTGAGCCTGTCATTAACAAAGATGCCGAGTTACTTGACCTCACAAGATGACTTTGTTCCTGAATCTAGACATGGAGACAGTTAGCTTGCACATAGACAAGATGCAGATTTGCCTTGTTCCACACCCGCCTTCTCCCATTTTCACTTTTACTCTCCATGCCACTCCACGCTTGAAAAAGTTTCCTCTTTTGCAAGCACTAAGCACCCTACTTTCTCCTTCCAATTCCTCCTTAAAGTCCTCTTACTCTGTAAATACTTTGATTTCCTCACATCAGTCATGTCTCTTTGCCTGTATGTGGGAAGAAGCATGATCATGTAGACTGGGAGGAGAAAAACCCCAGGTTCTGTTCCTAGTTGTGCAAGGGTCCTCCTGTGCAACCTTGAGCAATTCACTTAACTTCTCTGTGCCTCAGTTTCCTCATCTGTCCAATAGGGATGATGATACTAGTCATTGCGAAGGGTGTTGTGGAGCTTATTTAAATCATGTTGGTAAAGCACTTGGAGATCATCCTATGGAAAGCATTGTAGATGTGCCACTAAAATTTGAGTTGGATTATAAACTGCAGGGGGATGGACCCTTTTCTTTCTGTGTGTTTTGGAAAGTGCCACACGAGCGTATGGGTGATCTATAAATAATAATAATAATGGTCTAGTCCAACATTTTTAAAAGCGACTAGTGATTGTCAGTGTCTCAGTTTTGGGAGCCCAGCTTGACACTCTTTAAAGGAGCTGGATTTTCAGAAAGTGCTGAGCACCCGCCTCCTGACAATCAGGCCACAGTAAGGCATCTCCCATCGGGCACCCCGAGTTGGCAGTCATGTTTGAAAATCCTGGCTCTATTCATAAGTCACCATTATTCATAGAACAATATATAGAGTTACCAGAGTGTGAGTGATCCTACAACATAGGAATCAAAGCATCTGGGTGTGGCTTCTTCCAGAAGTTGATGTTTGACTGAAGAGAGCAAGGGGTGACTTTGTCTTGCTTATTTGCTTCAGCTGAGAAAAGTAAAAGGCAAGGAAATCAATTAGTGCATCTAGTTAGTACTTTGCACACGATGGGTGGTCTGCAGCTAGCAAGGCTGAGAATCTGTAGTGAGCTGAGTTATTTACTGATGAACTGAGAAGCCAGCGCTGTGATCCTACAGGAGTTGCTACCCTAGGCTAACTGGACAATGTGTACGTTCCTGATGGTCTGCACTCAGTCACTCACATAAACAGTCCTTAGACACTTTGCTGCCCTGGGCAATATCCTGTTCTCCCTGTGTGATAAAAACAGCCCTACTGAGCAGACAGTACAATCAGGTGGATTCACTTTAACTTCAGGTGTTTTTATTGAGCTTTAGTTAAAATTAAACAATACTCAAGTGTTTATAAAAGAAATTCCCTCAAGAAATAGTTTGGCATGCTTTGGATGACTGCAGGGGCCTTATACTGCTTAAAACAATTAGATACATTTTAAGGAAGCTTAAGCATGATTTCTCTCATAGCATCCAACATGCAATGGTCAAATATCATTTTAAACCTTCTATTGAGAGCTGGATACACTGTTGCATAGCTGTAACCACAGAAAAACCCATCCCAATGACATTAAAGCTACTCAGTGGAAGAGAGATACAAGGCTGCAACATAGTTCTCTCTTCCTATTTCCATCAAGGATTACAAGCTCATCGTTTAAGCATCTGCTGATGTCTCAAGGACAAGGGTGCTCCAGTCAGCTAAATATCAAGGGTCCCATTGGAGCAGAGCCCAGAGCTGGAGCGCAGAGCAGCTCGGGAGCAGTGTAGCTGCAGGTTTTTGCCTGGAGCCGGAGCACAGCTCCAAAGCCCTACCACTGGGTTTACTATCGCCTTCACCCTCTACCCCATTTGTTTCTTGTTGTTTCCCTTCAGTAAGGATTAATGGAGACATTATGTAAGAGAGTGGGAATGTCTCATCTGCTCGTTTCCTTTCTCCTGTAAATGTTTCCACTAATCTGTCCCACCAAAGGCACTAAGTTTACCTATGTTAATGAGGAGTTCCATAGCAAACAGTGAATTGGTGTATATAGAGATGGAACGTTCATATTTTGCCATCTGTTTCACAGTGAGAAGATGTTACATTTTAGCTTGTTTTTCCAAGTGTTACCTCCAGAGCTTTGGAAGAACTCTTTGACGGCCTGCCAGGTAGGCATAGCCACATCCCCAGTGTTTCCTCCAAAGCAATTAGAAAGGAAATGAGCAGGTAAGCATTTTCCAGTCTGGATCAGGCCCTGTGTACATTAAGGAAATTCACACTGGTGTAAACACATTAATGTAATTATAGTAACAACAGTAATATAGTTAAAGCAGCAAAACCCCCTAATGTAGACGGGCTGTACCGGTGCAAAGCACGGTGTAATCTGGTGAGAGGCCGAAGTAAACTGCACTGTGTAAGCCCAGCTTTGTGCCAGTTTAGCATGTCTACATTAGATGTTTGCACTGAAGTAGTGACAGCAATACAGTTACATTGTTGTGGATTTCCTTAGTGTAGACAAGGCTTGAATAATCATGATGCTTAAAACCAGAGGCAGGCTGGGTACTCTTCTCAGTTAATTTTTGTCCTGCAATAGCGTAGTTTGCAAAAGTTAATGAGCAAATCATGACAAGGAGGCACATTTTAGTCTTTGGACCTTCTCTTGCCTAAGATGACCTTCTCTTTGGTTTGTATCATTGAAACTGCTTTAGTGAATGACTAAAACAAGATTAGCATGGGACACTTCTTACGTTTTTTGACAAGTGCCAAAGTGATGTTCCCAAACAGCTGTAACTGAAATTAATTTCTTCACTAGTAAACTGAGGATAATAGTATGTTACAGTAAATATAAACTGGAAAAATACAGAGGTATTGATTCCCAACATCTGTGCCAGAGTACAATCCACCTTCCATTGAAGTTAGTGGAAATCTTTCCATCTACTTCAATCAAAGTTGGACCAGATCTGCACCGTGTAAATGTAACATACAAAAAGTAAAACCAGCAGTAAGTACAGTGGGAGCGGAGGTATTACAACAAAAGCAACCTAAAAGAATGCATCCAAGACCAGACATGGGATGGTGGCAAAGCTATCACTTTGCTCTGGATTGGTATTCAATAATACTTTACTCTTTTATAGCACCTATAATTTGAATATCACAAAGCACAGTGCAAACATTAATTAGTTAAGCCCCACGACACTTCTGGAAGGTAGGTACATAGTTATTAGTACCCCTATTGTATAAGTGGGTAAAGTCAGTCAAAGAGGTGATGTAGTCAAAGTTAAAGAACAACTCAGTGGCAGAATAGGAAATACAGTCAAGAATCTTGACTTTGAGTCCTCAACTGTAATTACTGGAAGTTTTGTGTCTCATTGAGAGACTGACCCTGTTTTATTAACTTGGGTTTTTTTTCTAGTTTTAACAATTTTTCAGGGTCCCTCCCACTGCATACTTACATTTTCAGCCATTTTATATTAATTTAAAACTATGCATTTAGTGGGCATCCAGATCCCATTCATTTTGTGTCCGTCTTCAAACTGGGACTTGTAGCCCAGAAAATGTTGTAAATACCTGAAGTAAAATTTTCAAAAGCACCTAAAAGTGACTTATAAGCCTAAATCCCATTTTCAAAAGTGATTTAGGCACTTAGGACCCTCACTACAAAAGCAACTTTCCCTCTCCTGGTATTGACACCTCCTCCTCAATTATTGGGAGTGGACTACATCCACCCTGATTGAATTAGCCCTGTCAACAATGGTTCTCCACTTGTGAGGTAACTCCCTTCTCTTCATGTGTCAGTATAATAATGCCTGCATCTGTAATTTTCACACCATGCATCTGAAGAAGTGGGTTTTTTATCCACGAAAGCGTATGCCCAAATAAATATGTTAGTCTTTTAGGTGCCACCGGACTCCTTGTTGTTTTTAGGAACCTATGGATCATTGAAAGTCTTAAGTAATCTATGTGCTAATGGAAATTTTACCCTGAATCTAAATATGTCCCTGCATTACATTTTCCCCTTGGATATAAAATTGATAAGCCAGCCTATATGCTAATACACTGCCCCTGCAAAGCCACCATCAGTGCAATGGGTCTATAATATAGTTAAGCTTCAAATCTTAATCTCTTTGTGAGCCACATCCTGTTTTCGGTTAACTGATCTCATGTGGGGGAAATTTACCAGAGGAAATATCTCAAGTTTGGAAAGTACCAAAAACTTATCTTTAGTTTCTTTGTGTAATTCAGTGCCTTTTAAGATAAAGGTGTAATATTTTACAGAACTATGAAGGCGAAAGAGAGGGTAGGCTCACTTAACATACAGCAGAGACATACGGTATTGTTAGCACATTGAGGTTTTTTGTGTCTCTCTCATTCAGAAACTGAAATTGACCCAACTGTATTATGGCCTCCCCTCTGAAAGCATTAACTTCTATTTCTTTGAACTCCCACTTAAAAATGGCCACACTCAGACATATTTTCTTAAAAAAAGTAATTCATCCCCTGGCTGAGAATTTCTGCGTCATATTTCAACCCAATGTGAATTTTATGGTCCTAGTTCTAAAACTATGAAAGCAGAGGTTTATAATGGAAACATTGACTGATCTTTACCACTAGCCATTCACACCACTCGAGTTCTGTTTGTGTCAGTGTTTCCATATTTAATTTTGGTAGCATAAAGACAATGCTATGGTATGCGATGCTGTCTATCCTGCACTCAGAAAACAGAACATCTATGAATAAACTTGCACCACATCAAAGCTGGAAGTATAGATGAAATGCTATTAGGGGCCAATCCTGCAATTGTTACTCAACCCAAACTGCCATTCACTTAAGTGGCCCTTATTTTTAAGGCCATCAGTTTGAATATTAACCTTACCAAAACTTAGACCATGTGGCCACTTTCACATTTTCGCCATCAAATATCTTATTAAAATTAGAAGCCTGATTTTTAAAAGGTTACACATGCAATTACCATGATTGCATGTACAAATCAGGTAATTGCATACCTACATTGCTATAATTAGCCATTTGCACATGCAATGATAGTAATTAATATTAATACTTAGCTTGTATGTAGCACTTTTCATGCACAGATCTCAGTGATTTGCCAGGCACCGTACAAGGAAGCTATGGCAGCAGCTGGATTAGAATCCAGAAGTTCAGACCCCTAGTTTCCTGCTCTAATTATAAGACTACACTGTGTGAAGTTTGCATTTACCTAGCTTTGTAACCCCAATCTCCTTTTCCTCATTCTTGTTTTTATTTAGCTGCTAATCATTTTCTGACAAAGCAAAGGTCCAAATTCTGCTCTTGGTGACACTCCTGAAACCCCATTAATTCCAGTAAAATTGTATGGGTGTAACTGAGAGAGGAACCTGGTCCAAGGAGGAGATTTTTAATGAACAAAATTAGAGGGCTGAGAACATAAATATGGGAAACCTCTTGAAACAACTGCTTGAACTCCTAAAAGAATTTGACCCTTCTCTCTGAAAATACCAGCCACCACAAAATGCTAGTTATTCATCTCTAAATTCCATCAGTAGATTAGCTGACAGCTGTGATTTGAAAACAGTCTTGGGCCATGAAACAAAATGAGCTAAAATGTTTTCTGTTACAGATAACAGAGCTTGAAATGGTAAAGAAAACTGAGCAGCTGCCCATCTATTGTGTTACATAAAGAGACCCTGTCCATTTTGTAGCAGATTTTCAGTGTGTGTTTAATTCCGGTTGTTTTCAGTTGATATCTCAGAAGCCTGAAAATAAAATTAGTTTCCAACAATTTCATCCAAACATTTCCTGCTCTATCTTAAAACAATCATGGTTCCTATAGGCTGTGTTATGCAAACACTACCAGGAGCAGTACTTATAGTGCAGAATACTCACAGTAGTGGGTGCTTGCAAAAATGGTCCTATTGTGAGTGCATGAGCACCACTAGTGCAGCTCTGGGGAGAGAATAAATATTGTAAGTCATACATAAAAAGTGGCTCTCTTTTTAGATATAGTTCTCTCCAACGGTGCTTGATTTTTAAACTTCTCTTTTGAAATCTAGAGAACATATCTCCCAGATGATGACAAATACTATATTTTCCTATATTACTTGACATTGTCTATTTAAGACAGGGAGGTGGGAGTTTAATGGAAAGATTTTTGGGAACATTTTCTCTTGCCTGTACCACAGATGTGATAGAACACTTGAAAAAAGAACATTACTATACTGTGCAGGCACCCAAAGAGCTGAGTCACACAACAGCCATGTGAGTGGAGCTGATGAATGTTTCTGAGCTCTTCATAAAACACATGAATATCACTGTTTTATCACATAAGGGGGGGGGAGGGAAGGTGGGAGGCAGGAAGTTCAAGATCTTACCTAAATGTTTCTTTCAGCCTTTCTATAAAGCAGTACAGAAAATACACGCAGAATCAAAGAAGTACTTTTGGACAGGACTGGGCTAGATGGACCACCGGTCTGATGCAGTATTTGCACCTGTAACTTTCTCTGTAAGGGTCCAGTCCTGCTAAGTATGGAGTGCCCTCAATTCCCACTTTGATTCTTCTCTCAACTGGTCCTCGGGGGGGAAGAAAGAGAACCCCCTTCTTATGAAGAAACCTTCCTAGGTACGTGGTCTAAATGAAATTACTGAAAAGGATCTGGGGATTCTAGTGCAGTACAAACTGAAATAGAGTCAACAATATGAGGCAGATGCAAAAAAGGCTAATTCCAAAAGAGTGTATTCAAAGGCATGTCATACGTAAGACACAGTAGGTAATTGTCCTGCCCTACTTGGCAGTGGTGAGGTCTCAGCTGGAGTACTGTGTCCAGTTCTGGGTTGCACTTTAGGAAAGATGGGGACAAGTTGGAGAGAGTCCAGGGGAGAGGAACAAAAATGATAAAAGATTTAGAAAACCTGATCTATGAGGAAAAAAGGTAGAGGAAAAAAACTGGGCATGTTTAGTTTTGAGAAAAGAAGAACGAGGGAGGACATGATACCGGCTTAGGGTGGTTATAAGGAGGTTGGTGATTAATTGCCATGTCTGCTGGAGGTAGGTCAAGCAGCAATGGGCTTAATATGCAGCAAGGCAGATTTAAGGTAGATATTAGGAAAAGTGTTCTATCTACAAGTTGTTTGTGGTGTTGTAGCCCTGTTGGTCCAAGGATATTAAAAAGACAAAGTGGGTAAGGTAATGTGAGCACCCCCAGAACCCCCACTAAGGATCCTGTGAGATTCACCCCCATACACACTGGGGATCCCTGTGAGCTCCCCAGGCCCCCTACATACTGCACATCTATGTGAGCTCCCCCCCGCCAGCGATCCCTGTGAGGTTCACCCACACTGGAGATCCCCTGTGATCTCCCCCAGCCATCCACACCCAGTGGGGATCCCTGTGACCTCCCCCAGCCATCCACACACATTGGGGATTCCTGTGAAGTTTACCCACCCCCACACACTGGGGATCCCCTGTGTGCTCCTTCAGCCCCTCTCCCACATTGGTGATCCCTGTGAGCTCCCCAGCCCCCCCC